AGCGCCTCCCCTAGAACACCCAGGTCAAGGGCTTCAGAGTCCTTCATGCCATTTTGCTTGCAACTGGGACTGGTGTCTCCAAATGGGTCTAGTTCTGAAAGAAAGGTGATCAGTTCGGCGATGGGGAAGGAAGAGGGCAGAGGCGCCCTTTCAGTCCCCCCCTAGACCAAACAGCTGTATCCCAGGGGCCTCTTACCCACAGGACTACTAGACTTCCCCAGGGCCAGGGCCTGGGCACCGTCCAGGCTCTCCTTCGGCTCTGTGGATTCTACAGGTTTGGCAAATGGGTCGAAGGACGAGGCACCACCTAGAGCTAGTCGGAAGAAAGAGGGAAATAGAGTGAGCCAGTGAAAAGGGTAGAGATGGGTCTGAGATACGGCATTCTCACCATAGACTGTCCTTGGTACTGGAGGGAAGGGGACCCAGGAGTCCCCAGCTTCTCACCCATGTGCCCTCCACTTACCAGAGGCATCAGAAGTCTCCAGAGAGGCCCCCCAAGGGTCTGTTCCAGTGCTGGGGAGTTTGCGGTTGGGGGAGCTTGGTGCCCAGGGGTCTGTCATGGGGGATCCAGCAGGCAGCACTGGGGTCCTGCCCCAGGGCTCGGAAGAGGAAAGAGTAGGAAGCAAATCCCAAGGCTGGCTTCGGGACAGGGCATGTCCAGAGGGAACTGGAGACCAGGGGTCTGCTGAAGGTCCCCAGGAAGAGCCACTTGGCTCAGTGTTTGGCCTGAGACCTGGAGAGGAGAGAGAGATAGCACTGACATTATCCCAACATTCCCACACCCTTTGTCCAGGGCCCTTCTCATTTGCCCAGCCCAGGTTGGGTGGTGTGGTACCCACTTCACAAGTGGGATGCTAACTTGGGAGTCAGTGGTACTCTCAAGTCCATGTTTAACAAATAAGCCCAGGAACTTGGACCCCCAAACCTGGGAGTATTGGCCTCATCAAGGCTTGGCTAGTCAGTGAGGGCAACCAGGCCCTCTGTAGAGCTTCCCAGGAGTTAAGATCTGCAGATATGTCCCCCTTACAGCAAGGCCCTCTCCCTGAGGTAGCACACTGATCCTCAGTTAAAGAGAGAAGTAAGTGATTTGCAGATAGGTGGCTGGAAGGAGGCTCCTAGAGGCCAGTCTGAGGGGGGGCCTCTTGAATCCCTGCATGCCCACCTGGGATGTCCCATGGGTCAGCAGAGCAGTGTGTGGAAGGCATGGCTGGGGCAGGTGCGAAGATGTCCGCCAAGTCCAGGATGGAGGACTGTGGAGGGGAGAGGCAACCATGGCTCAGAAGTGGGTGGGGCCGAGAGGGAGGGGAGGCCTGACCCACGAGGCCTGACCCGACGCCAGCTCATTCCCCTCCTTTCTTCATTGCACAGGCATCTTTTAATGACCCCTCACCTCTGATCAGCATTTCCCATTTATAAAACGCTTCCTCGTCCATCCAGTGTCCCATCTCATAACACCCCTGTGAGGTAGGTAATGTACCTATGTGACAGATGCGCCAACTAGCTGAAGCCCAGAGAGAGGAAAGGGTTTGCCCAGAGTTATATAGTTACACAGTCAGAGAAAGGCAGAGCTGTGCTAGATCCTGGGCCACCAGAAAGGGGTACTTTAGACAAATTTTTTTATGAGGGGGCAGAATGAGTCTATTTCTCTAGCCCAGTACTCAAGAGAAACTGGCCACCACAGACACAAGAGAGGAAGAAGAGAGAGGCACCCCAGGGACAGAATGAGTAACCTGGGAAAATTATCTTGCTTTCAGTGGCCACCTGCTCCCCTTCCCGAGGAACCTATTTTCAGCACCATGCGCTTGAACCAGCTCCTAATCCAGACCCACAGTATCACATGATCCTATGGTGTGAGAACTAAAACTGTCCAAAACACCCACTGTGCAAAAAGGGAAACTGAGGCCAGTCATATGTCCCAAGTCATTCAGTGGCAGGAAGTGCAAGGCTTCTTTCTCTATCATGACTCTGACAGGCCATTTCGCTTCACTAACCCCTGTTGTGTTCCCGCCACCCTCATTTCCCACTTAGTGCTTGCAGCAAGCTCTGCTCTGCACTTTGTAGGGATGCCAACTCGGCTACATCCAGTCCTGGGCGAGCAGCGCTCCTCAGCCCATTGTCTACCTGACTAGTTTTCAGCTTCTCCTCCTCCTTTCTCTCTTCTCTCCCAGGCTCTCTGTCCCGCCGCCGATGGCCAGCAGGTTCTGCACCATTCGCCACTGGAGAGTCATCTTCCTTCCAGGACCTCACCCCCTGCAGAAGGGACAGGTAGGGCATGAGCAAGGGATTGGGGGTTAGCAGAGAGCAGGTGGGAGACACCCAAATTAGCGCAGCGGAGAAGCTGATTAGTGCCCCTTGATCTGCCACCAGAGCTGTCACCGTCACCGAATCGTGGTAGGCACCTGTGGCCTAGGCGAGTTTGCCCCTATACTACCTTCTCATGTTCCTGCCGGCTCAGGCTCAGAGCCAGCTGCAGCTGAAGGTCCTCATCCCTGTGAGAGGCTGGGGGGACTGGCTGTGAGGGAGGAAGACAGGGGTGAACTTGGCCCAGTGCTCCCACCCCAAGGCTAGAGAGGGCTAGCACAGTCCTGCCCAGGCAGAGAGGTGGAGACAGAGATGCCCCTTGCTCAAGGGGTTGGGCCTTGAAAGGGTGGCTGTCTCCCTGCTGTGGGTCTGATTCTGAGATGCAACTTAAGAATCAGCCTCCCACAAGTGGAGGCTAGTGAGCCCCAAACTTCTTCCTTCCTCCACAGCCACCCTGTGCAGACTCGGGTCTCACCTATCTTTTTCTTCTAGGTACCCTGAGAACCTCTCTAGCCCACCCATGGAAGAGGCATTAATGTTTCCAGCCTGGTCGGTCCATAGAAGTCATGGCAAAGATGTGGAGGTATCGGAGGAAGGACAGTTGATGGAGGGAGCGATAGCCCCCGTGTTTTCTCAGAACATGTCAGCACACACCTCTCCTAAGCACAAAGAGAAGAGCAGCTCCCAAAGGTACACCACAGACCCCCAACTACACACCACATCTTCTGGGTCCTGCTTGAGAACCACCAAAAGTTGGAGTCCGTGACTGGGACAGATCAGGCACATCGATGTGTCCTGTGCCGCCTTGGGAGCTAGAGTGGGTCTCCAGGTCCAGGGTGGAGAGCCCAAGCGGAGGCTAGTGAGTACCAGACCTCCTTCCTTCCTCCACAGACACCCTGTACAGACCCAGGTCTCACCTTTTCAGCCTCCTCACGGCTCATGGCCAAGGCCAGCTGCAGCTGCAGCTCTTCTTCTCCAGACGTCTGGGGCCGTGCCTGCTCCAGGTCTGAGGCATAGCGCGGGGATGAGGACGCAGCTGTAACAAGTGTGGCTCCCGTGAGCACACCGGTCCCCACGGGCCCCACACTCCTCTGCCTGCCCGGAAGCTGGGGCTCACAGAGGGTGAGCCAAAGGAGACTGGCTATTCAGGCGCCAGTGAGCCAGGCAGCACACTGGACACCCATTATGGATTCTCCACTGCACTGCTAAGGCAGATGCCAGGGCCCCTTGGCAAGGAGTAGACAGTGCAGGGGGTGCCTGGCCATGGTCCTAAGTCAGGACTTAATGCAGGTCCCTGACTTCAGCTCTTGAACTCTTCCAATAGGACCATAGCCTACTTGGGGCCACAGGGATTAGGAGGAAGGGATCTGCCAATCAAAGAAAATCATAGCCTCAGAGCCCAAGTAGGCCATCATGGGCTTTATGGAGGAGGGCCGTTCTGGTATTCCCCGGGTCACAAAGGCCTCCACCGCTGTGGCAAGCCATCAGAAAGGATGTTTCGTCATCAGCCACCCTTGTTTTCAAGGACAATACTCTTGAGTGGTGGGGGTTTACAGAACATCAGGTGTCTGAGTAAAAGGGTCAAGGGCATTCTTGGCCTTGTCTCCTTCAGTTCTCAGATCAAACAATAGAGGGAGGTAAGTGGACCTCTGCTCTACAGAGAGCTGGTTGCCCAAGCCACTCAGCTTGGAAGGAACAGAATGAATGGTACGTAAGTCCAGAGCCTTAGCCTTAGGTGGTGGCGCACGCCTTTAATCCCAGCACTCTGGAGGCAGAGGCAGGCGGATCTCTGTGAGTTCGAGGCCAGCCTGCTCTACAAGAGCTAGTTCCAGGACAGGCTTCAAAGCTACAGAGAAACCCTGTCTTGAAAAACCAAACCAAACCAAAGCAAGTCCAGAGCCTGCATTTCGACCTCCACGCGCCCTCTCAACAGCTGACTAATGGGGCAAACAACTGATGATGTCATTATTTCATCTGCATCACTAAGCACCTACTATGTGCAGGCATTGTGCTTTCCACGTTACATTCTTTATCTGGATGGGTCTTCCCAACTTCCTTTCTGAGATATCTGTTATTTATTGTTCCTGGCTACAGAGCCAGGACTGTGGCTGGGCTACCCACCCTCTCCAGTCATACTGTTAGGGTCTACTCACAGGTGTAGGAGGAGGGGGAGCCCCGAGATCTTCGACTGAAGCCCAGCTGCCCGCTGCCAATGCCCATGCCTTCCAGGGCCATTCTCTCTTTGGTCTTGAGAGCGTGGGTACGCTCTTGCCGCAGGCGCTCCTCGTCTTTGAGCAGGGCCATCACCTGCTTGACCTTCTCCCGAACGTTGACACCTTGGTCCTTGCCATCACGGTCAATGTACTGGAAGTCCTTGAGCGTCTGGATGGTGTAGAGGTTCTCACGGCATTGGTGGGCCACGCGCTCCGAGCCTGTCTTGAGCAGGTAGTCCAGCAGTGTCAGAGCCTTGTATACATGTCGCCAGTTCTTACCGCTGTCATTGAGCCTCCACCACAGCATGCCCATGACCTCAGCAAAGGCCACTGTGTTGAAGGTCAGGTCAGCAATCTCTGACATGAGGGAACTGGGTGGGCCCCAGGGGTCATTGCTGGTGGCCTCGCGCACCTTGACCTCAGCCTCTGAGTAGTTGTGAACAATGTTCTTCACCTGGCGGCGGAGCGCAGAGGTTGTCATGGTTGGGGACTTGGAGGTGGGCAGCCCCCGCCCCCGCCGGAGGTAGAGGGCTGAAGGCCACCGTCTTGAGGTCACGGTCTCGAAGGATGGGCCGCCTTGCTTTCAGCAGGGCGGCTGTGTCCTCGGGTTCCACATGGGGCTGGGAAAAAGAGGACCTGGTACTCAGGATCAGGGGCTCCCTCACTGTTTGTTTCCTCATGGAATATGGCCTGGCCAGACCGTCCCTGCTGCCAGCGAAAGCTTTTGGCCGACACTTTTATCTTTCCTACCGTATTCAGTATTCAACGGACCCTGTTTGGCATTCTCGTCTATACGACCACCAGACCAAGATGTTGAAATCCCTGTATCTAGTCAAATATGGGGACAGTGGGACTCAGAATCGGTCCACGGTTCCTTTGCGGTCACAGAGCTCCCTCCACCTGAATGTGTGGCTTCAAGGATCACCCAGTGACCACCAGGAATGTCACTCTCCCGCCTAGCTCATGCTTGTCTCCTCAGCCGTTTGGGCTGTGACCTTTCCAGCTTAGCCCTTTATTCTCTCTTCTCCTATGGCCATTCTTCATACTTTAATTCTCGCAACACTTATTTCCTGAGGGTCTCTCCCCAAACCCCGCGATGTGCTTGTAGAATACCCACGGCCCAGTGTGGGCATGCGCAGGGGTAAAGGAGGCACAGGCAGGGAAAATAGTGGGCAACTTCCTATAGGAGATAGCGCTGAGCTGAAGATGAGACGCAAAGGGAAGAGTGAGGAGAGAGAAGCAACCAGCAAAGTGGGGAATCTGTGAGTACTGGGGCACACCCCCCTGGCCTCCGCCACAGACACATAGGAGTGCCGTGGTGACCCGCCCACAGCAAAGGGCATGTAGGTAGCAGAGGTAAGACTGACAATACCCAAGTCTCCTTGAGACTAATTCAACACTTATTGTCGTGTTGCCTAGCTCGCTAATTAATTTAATCTAGTTACTTATCTCAGAACCACCTTTTCAGCCAGAAGGGAAGTTCCCTGAAGACAGGGGCAATTCAAGCAAACTACCAAGGCCCTAGGCATGCAGCAGACCTGACAGCCCAACAGAGGCAGACTCAAAGGGACAATCAGCCCCATGTCTTCCCACAGCCTCAGGAGGCAGAAGAGTCCCCCGAGGCCTTGTCAGAGACCCAAAGTAGGAGCCTCCTGCCACCATCATGGCACTAATATAGTTTTACACACGAATACATGTGCACACACACGCGCGCGCGCACGCACACACACACACAGAAGCTGGGTTGGCAGAGCCTCCACTTTCTCCATGAAAGCCCCCTACTACCACAGAGATCTCCCCTCCCCGATCACCCTCGGGCGGGCCAGCTGTCCCAGCCTCCTGAAGGATAGGTGTGAAGGTTGTGTACAGGAAGTTTGTCCTTCCAGTGCCTCAAGGGAATGATCATCTCCGTTCTGAGTACCCGCGGGTCCCAGTCTTTGGCCGAGAGATGGGAGTCTGTGGAAACTGCCCCCCCCCCCGGCCCATAGGGCTGCCTACCTTGTGTCTCTCTGTCCAGCTGGCCTTCTGTGAGAATGGCCACAGCCACAACTTGTTTAACTCCTGCCCTCCCCCTCGCTAGTGACTCAGACCTGTGTTCACCTCCCCAGTGGGAGGGCGGGCTGGCAGTGGCAGAGTCAAGATGGGGAATAATTGTGAGCGAAGCCCGCCCTGGTGTACTTGCTCCTCCCTGCTGGCTGCTGGAATTGGCAGAACCAGTCAGGTCAGACCTCCTGACTCTACCTGGGCCTGGCTTCCCAGGCCTTCTCACTTTGCCGGGGTGGCTACAACCAGCCTTCATGGGAAGGGACCCTCTGTGTAGGCACCGTGGCCAAACCTGGATTTTTCTCCTCGGAACAAGGTGGACATTGCTTACACACCTTTGCTGGAGCCTGGGAAAGGAAGGGACCAGAAACAAAGGGAGATGCCTGAACCTCCACCCCAGCCATTCCTCTACTCTTAAGGAGTTTAACATAGTAGGGACACAGTAAGGAGCAAGAGGGGCAGGGTACGGTCCCGTCTGGAGCAGGCGTGAAGCTGAAGCTGAGAGGAAAGGAAGGCGGGAGGAGCGGCTGGGAGCCCTGCCAGCGGTGTTACAAGCAGGTTTTATCGAACACAATATGCCCAGGAATAAAAGGGAGTGAAACACAAACCCAGCTGCCGATAAGACGGTGCGGCAGCGGCAGCCCCGGGGCAGCGGGTGTGGAATTACTGCAGTGACCTTGAGCCAGACCCTGCCAGGTGGAGGGAAGGGCGCTGAGCAGCCAGGACCTGGGGAGGCCACTTCAGAGATGGAAAGAAGGAAGGAGGGTACTAGTAGAGAAAGGGTATAGGTAGGTCTGGGGGTGGGGGCATAGAGTTTAGACTCCCTCTTCCACACGGGTCCTCAAGGAGGAATTGGAGTGGAGGGACTTCTCAGGACACAAGTCCAGAAGGGTGCCAGGGTGGGGGATGGAGAAATTCCTAAAAGTCAGCACCGAGGAAGCAGATGGCATCCCCAGGGTGGAGGTTCAGAGAGATAGAAAGAACCAATCACGCACGAATTTGCCGAAGTATGTGTGCACCCCCACCAGCCGGCACCCCTCCCCATCTTCTGTCCCCATCAAGCCCAGAGTGAGCAATGGGGGAGTGGCAGTGTCCTTCTTGCTGCTAGAGGGATGTGGGACTGGATGGTAGCTAACCTTAGGCTGTCTGGCTTCATCAGACCTGAGTTGGCTGTGTCCAGGGGCGCACTGGAGTGGACTAAGGGGCCACCCTAAGTTTAGAGGTGCAAATACAGAGATATGCCAAGATCTGAGGGGGAACGCCACTGAGAACCTCCGGATGGCCCTGCGTCCCTTTCTGGAGGGACCAGGAAGGTAGGAAGGGTTGCAGGTAAGACGCCTCCAGGTCCTCCTCCACTGCCCTGCCTTGCCTTTTCTCGAGCCTGGGAGAGAGACTAAATCCTGAGCCCACTCTAGCCCCCGCCCTCATGCAAGGCACCAGCGCGGAGCGGGAGGGAGCTTACCTCCAGTGTGGGCTCCCTCACCCCAGCCCCAGCAGGCTCTGCAGTGAACCTCTGACTTGTGGGGGATGGTACAGCCTCAGGAGCAGCTCCAGAGCCATCCACCACAGACCCTGGTCTCGGGAGCCCCACCCTCGACCAGAGGCACAGGGCCCTCTGAAGGAAAGCAGAGTCCCCCAGCAGGTTGCAGCTCAGCCTCTCGGGCGGCTGCCTCTCCGACTCCTGCCGGCCAGCACTCTCCGGAGGAAAGTTGTTCAGCTGGCCAGGCAGGTCTGCCTCAGCAGTAACAGGACACAGGATGACGGGCGGGCGTGTTTAACCCCTTCCTGCTGTCTGCCGGGCGGTGCCTGGGGGAGGGGGGGGGAGGCCGGCCTGTGTGTCAGCCGGTGACCTCAGGGGTACAGACTGGAGCTGACCCACTCCCACCCTGCAGCGAGTTGACCTTTCTACTGCCTCCTGAGCTAGAAGCGGGGAAGGGGTGGGTGTGTAGGCAACTCCAGTACCCCTACTACGCCCTTACCCCTCCTAGCCAAGAGGACGGTAAAACAGAAGGCAGAACACCACCCGGGGTTTGTCTTTTCCTGTTCCCAGGTGGCTTCGCCTGGCCTCTCCGACTCTGGGAGGACCCTGCCGCCTCTGTACCGCCTTCCTCCACTTCTCACCTGGAGAGTGCTGAAGGTTCGTGAGGTATGAGTCCCATAGGATTTTGCTGCGCCGGAGCTGCCGGCTGCCCTTGATCCACTGCTGCTCCTAAAGACCCTCAGCCCACAAGTTTTTTTTTTTTTTTTCATTTGTTACAACAGAAACCCCAGGATGACCCAAGCAGGCACTGCCTTTCTGTCCCAGCTGCTACCCTTCACCTATTTCACAGTCCACATTCCTTCGTTCCAGGAAGGAGTGGGAATTCTTAAAGCTGTTTCGTTGTTTCGCTTGAGACCTTGTCTCCAGGTGTAGTGCCAGGCTGGCTGGCCTCAGAGTCATTATCTAGCTCCGGCTGATTTTGAATTTAAAACCTTCACAGTGTCCCACTGAGATTACATTTTTCACCAGAGCAGAAAACTGGCCCCGGGCCAGATGTGTTGGCTGGAGGAAGGGATAAAGCAGACTAGAGCCCAAATCCTAACCTCTGGCTTAGGACACGGGTGCTGAAGAGAACAGCCCGGGAGAGGAAAACAGTACTTGTGAGACTTTCTTTGCAAATAGTTGCAAATAGTTGTACTTTTGTTTGTTTTTCTTCAGACCTGGGGTGGGTCTGAGCTTGGCCCCAGTTCCTCCGGGGTTTAAAAGGCTTGGCCAGTGCCACCTGGGGGGTGAGGAGAGCTGAAGTAGACCTCAGGAAGCCAGATCCCATTGGTTCTGCTTCTCCTCCTAGTCTCTCACTCTGACACTGGTGTTGACTTCAGGAAACATGACCCTGAAAGTGTGGCCCTGAGGCGGGGCCTGCTCCAAAGACAAGGCAATCTGCCCTGTCACCTGACTTCATTCCTTGCCCTGCTACCCCCTTGTTCTTCGGCTTGTCATTTGCACATCTCCTCCCTACATGTGGGTGGGAACCACGTGTGGGCAGGTGGGATACAGACATCACCTGACACAGTGGAGATCCAGCATGCCCAGAGGCACAACGGAAGTGGTAGGAACCTAAAGATTCTTTATTGACTTTTTCTAACCCTTTTCCCAGGAGGCAGCGTGGACCCAAGAGTCAGCTGCAAAAACGCAAAGGCTCTTCAACACTCTTTAGGGGGCTGAGCTCATCCGCCAGGACCATCATGTCAGTAATCAGAGTATCCAACAGCCCGTAGACCTGAAAGAAGAACGGGACAGGCATCAGAAGCGAAGGGCTCGCTCACTCTGCAGAAGGCATCAATGTATCGGCCTTGCAAAAAGAGAAAATACGGAGAGGAATGCCAGAGTTGTACAGTGAATTGCTGCGTGTAATTGCTTTTTAGATCTGGAGTGGGCCTGGGCTCAGACCCAATTCTGTGTTGGTTTTCCAGAAGCCAACTCTCCTTCCTGTAAGATCATAGATCTACACGCTGACGCTTCCAAAACCGAGTCTGAGCCTTCTGCTGCAGCTGGACCACACAGCCTAAGAAAACTGACTCTTAGTACCAGAGAATCAAAGAAGGGATTATACCCCGAGTCCCCAGAGCCGTATAAATACTTTCTAGACCCCATCAGCCATCAGAAAACTCAGTGATGTCACAGGCAGCAGTAAACAGAACTGCTGGTCAAATGAGACCCTAGGGTGGTCCCACAATGTACAGTAATGTAAGCCCAGGTTCACAATGCTTTATCTGTGAAAGACGAAGTATCCCTGTTAGATAGGATGACATAATGAGCGTGGTTTTGTAGACCTCCCCACACCTCAGAAAAACTGCATGTAACAAAAGACCAAGAAGGCCTGGGAGCATCTCTGCGGGCCTGCTGCTGAAGATCAGATCCTGATGAAGTCTTTTCAACAGAGGGACGCATGTCCTTCCAATGTACATCGCCCCCTCTAGAGCTCGCCTTAAAATTCCATTCCCGTGTGAGTGCTGGGAAATCTGGGGACCTTTAAGAGGTCTTTGAGTAGTGAGGAGCTCACCCTCGCAGAGCAAAGGAGTCCTGACTCCTCCTTTTGTGCACCTTCCACACAAGGCCAGTTGCCCTTCTGCTTTGGGTCATTAGTGAAGCAGCATGAGTGTCCTCTCCCCCCCACCCCCCATGCCCCACTCCTGGGCTTTGTGGCCTGCATAGCCGTGAAACCAAATCAGCTTTTCTTATAGCAACAGAAAGAGGACTAAGGCACCTACAAGGTGTTCTCCCAAGAAATGCGCCTGCCAGGGTGGACCTGTGGGGAGGTGGGGGAAGCAGCTCTGGAAAGGGAGGGGCTCTTTTCTGTTGTGATTCTGAGAGTCTATTTATCAAAGGTCGGCGAGAGGCACCCTAAGTCCCATCATATCAAGCCCAGTGAGGAATTCTGCATGACTTCTGGGGTCACTCAGAGAAAACTCCAAGGCCTCACACGGGGCAGCAAAGTCCTCCTTGCCCACGGGCCCTGTCTGTAGCTTCGTTTCCCAACCACTCTGCTGGCCCACTCCTCTTCCGCACCAGCTGCTTCCTCTGCCTAAGGCAACCTTCCTTGGCCTGCCTTCATTTCTCTCTGGTATTTTGGGGGGGGGGTAGGTAAAAGCAGGTGCTCCTCAGTGGAATAAAGGGAATGAAAGATGCAGGTGTGAGGATTGGGAGGTGTGCGGTCCCCTCTTTCCTTCACCTCAGCGTGCAACCTCTGGGTATATTTCTCCATGACCAGGGGGTCTATGGGCTCCTGGGAAGGGACCGTGGTGTCAGTGGTCGGATCTTCTGAGGAGAGCCTGTCCCGGCTTGCAGACTTCACCACTTTCTTGTCATCCTTCGTCTTCTGTTTCTTGCTGTTCAGGCGGTCCTGCATGAAGAAACGGAGACCCCATAACCTCGACAGCTTCTGAGGGAGGTCTGGTCTTCTCTCCAGAGGCTCTCCTGGAGCCACTCCAAGAGTTCTCCCCAGTCCCATCCAGGGTGCAGACCACACCTGCACATACCTCTTTCCCTGACATCTTGGCTCCCTTTTTTTCCTCTTTGTCTCTGATACCTGGTACCTTCTTCTCCTGGGCTGCCCCTTTCCGCTCCTCCTTCCCAACTTTACCGACTGCCACCTTTGCTTCTATGACTGGAGGGGACTTATGACCTAAGAGGCGGAAAGTGGGAGACATACCGAAGGCCCCCTATGGCCTGGCCTACACCATAGGCTTATGCCAAGGTGAGCTGGAAAACAGGCTCAGTAGGCAGACAACTGAGAGGGCTAAGGGGTGTGGGGGGGCTTCCTTGAGCCCTCCATGTGACCTTATGGAACAAGACTGTGTGACAAGGGCAAGAGACAGTTCAATCCCAGCTCCAATATATTTAAACTCCCAGTGACTCAACGTGCTAAACAAGGGGCTCCACTGACGTGAGCCTCAAATCCTGGCAACAGATACGAAGATGGATGAGCCCCACGTCTATAGACTCCATCACATACCTACCATAAGGGGATAAACAGCCAAGGTACTGCTGCCTTCAGGGCAGAGAACTGAGGAAGACCACAGAGAGGTGAGACCTTACAATGTCTGACCTTGCTCTTCTGGGACGTCCAAATAAACCGTCTCCTTCTCAGGCAGGCCCAAAAGAGCCCTTAGCCATAGCGACTGGCTTACCAGGCTGTCAATCACATCTCGCCACAGCTGCAAACTGGAGGAAAAGACACCTTGAAGGAAGGCCAGCAGGCTTCACCTGTCCTTGAACCTTCAGAGGCTCGGCTGCCTCCCTTTAAGGACTCCAACGAGGGAAACTACCAGGAAAATGCCACGTTACCAAGCAGCCAACCCTCCCTGACACTCTGCAAGTGTTCACGTTGGAATTTGGCTTCCCTGTGGCGGCAAACAAGAGATTAGGTCTAGGACTAGTGTTAAGAAGCCCGGGTGAACTCAGTCTTGCTTCAGAGTCTAAATTCCAGCTTGGAGCGATGGCTAGACTTAGGCTCCACAGGAAGGGCTGGGCCTTGCACAAGATTCCCGGTATGCAGTTACCCAGGACTGTGTCCTATGGAAACCCAGCCACTTAAGTCTACCCAGGCAATGGCAGGTTGGCTACAGAGGGAAGCTTGTGAGGTTCCCTCTCTCTTCAAGTGTCTCCTGCCACTCCCCCCATTCTTCTGCTCATTGAGAAAGAACAAGACAAGGGGAAGGGGGAGGAGCAAACTCTTTGTTCTGCTGCGACTGCTCCCCAGAGAAGCAACAGGCGGCCGTGGGGCTGCTGTGGCAGGTTCCAGAGGGTGAGACGGTTGCCACATTTCTTAGCATCGGAGCTCAAGGGAAACCTAGCCTCCTTGATTCTGGAACTACCTTCCCAGGCTCTAGGGAAGGAGACCTGGGGTGGTCCCCTCAAGGATACCTACCACATCTGGTGCAGGATGTCAGACTGCAATGGCTTCTGCTCCTGGCATAGCTCCACAGCTGCCTTGTTGAGCCGGATGAGGCCATCCTCTCTCTGGGCCTCCTCAGGGAAGGTCAGCACTGCCTGGTTAGGGTCATGGACACCATGGGCAACCATTCTGGACCAGAACTCCAAGGGTCCCTGTGTTCTCTAGCAATGGGCCTGGTTACATAGAACAGGGCCCCAAAACTAGAAGCTATGGAAGACGCTTCCATATGGGAGCCTGACACCTCCCACAAAAATCTGTTCCCATGAACCTCACTCTTCAAGGCTTTCACAGAAGCTTCTTATTAAAAAAAAAAATTATTTTGACTCAAGAGACTTTTTTTTTTTTTCTGGGCCCTCAGGTTTCATCTATGTGCTCATAGGGCAAGGGAGGTTGCTGGAGCCTCCCCAACTGGTTCCAGAAAGGAGCAACATACTCAGGGGCTTTCTCCACAAACCCCTCAGAGCCTTGGGGGTACCTTTCTGAAGTCCTCTAGGCAGAGGTTCCACTTGGGCGGGGGAAGGCTTTCCAGCTCCCAGGGGCTCCTGGTAGGCTCCATGTCAGGGCTCTCCTCCACAAGAATCTCCTCCATAATGCTCTTCCGTGGGAAACTCTTGGTGCCAGTCTTCTGAGGGAGGAAGGGCTCTCGGAGTTCTCTGAGGCTATCCAGCTCCTGCCTCGAGAGCAGCTGAGGGGCCTCCATTGCTAGGCTCCCGCGGCTCACCAGGTGATGGGGGTCTCCCTGGGACTTCTCCACAAACATTAAGGGCGTCGGAGCAGGTCGCACTCTGGAGTTGAGGGGATCCTCCTGACCTGCCCCGGCCTCCTCAGTCTTCAGGGGCTGGCTGGAGTACTGCTGCCACAGCTCCTGCAGGTCTTGGATCACCTGATGCTGGTAATGCAACTGCAGCCAAGAAGAGGGGCACACACACACACATGCACACGTGTTTGGGCCTTCCAAGACAGGCAAGGTTTAAAGGAAAAATGATATGCTGTTCTGGTCTTACTAAGCATCCGCCCACTTGTGAACTATTTTGGGGTACACTCCTTAACATCTCGGGGCCTTCATTTCCCATCCTTACAGGATGTAAATCGCACTCGTTATCTCTTAGGAGTGCCGTCAAGAGGTGAGTTTCCTGGGGAAGACGCTGGGCACGTGGAAGGGTTTACTATGACAGTCACCCAGAGCGCACAGGGCCAACCCATACCCGAGGGTTCCTGTAGTGGAACAAGTCTTCTTCGGTGAGATAGGCATCCACGGGGGATGGCGCACGCTCTGGAGTCGAGATGCCCCTCAGTAACTCCTGCAGCACGCTCTGTGCGATGGTGACAGCCTCGTGGGCAGCCAGCTTACTCTGGGCAAAAAAAGATGGCACAGGATGGCAGCCTAGGCTCTCCACTGCCCGTGTATCCTCAAGGAGAAAGTCAGAAGAACTCTAGAGTCAAGTCTGAGTTCCTGCCTGGATATCAGTCATTCTGGCTTACACAAAGACTTGTTATTTCGAGACTCAAAAATCTCCAGGTCTCTCCAAACATCTGTGTTCACCTCACAAAGGTAAAAGGCATCCGGCAGAGGCCAGTCCCGGAGGAGAGCCACTCCAGCACAGGATTGGACCCTCTAGTACCCCCACTGGAAGAATGGGGAGAGACAGAGGCACAGTCAGGGCGCTGGTGAGAATGGCAGTGAACTTGGCTCCAGCCTGGCCACATGGTGAGTGCCACAGAAACCCAGCAGAAGGGCATCTCTCCATACACAGGTCCTCAAGTCAGCAAATACAGTGAACTTGGCCTTTATCAAAGTTACAATCTGATTGGCACGAACCAAGTCCCAGCCCGAAGCAGGCAGCTGTGTGTAGGGAGGGCGCAGCATAAAAGGCCGGCTTTCCACGGAATCCCATGAAGGGATTTCCCACAAGGGAAAGACACTGAGACCCAACAGGGACAAACAGCCCCCAGCGCTCACCTTACACTCCCCAGGGAGGCTGATAATGGAGAAGGGGACCAGGGCTGATTATTTAAATCATCTCTCAGGGTTGGAAGTCTTGTCAATGCAACCTCAATCCACTGCAGCATCACAGCCCCAGTGGGAAAGCTAGGGACTCCGCACGCACATTCCCCTGTGACGTCTGGATCTCAGGGAGTCATCTTGTTCCCTTCTAACTCAGGTCTGCAAGGCAGGGTCAGTTGTCGTCCCGCCCTCCCATCTTCTACATCATAAAGGTATGATTTCCTTTCCTAAGCAAGAGGAGTTATCTGTCATGTGGTGAGAAAGATCACCTCCCAGGATAGGACAAATAAAGACCCCTGGAGGCACCCCTGAGTGACCCACGTACTGTCCCAGTGGCTGAGGTTCTCAGTCTTCTTACCTCCAACAACTTCCTCTCCTCCATAAAAAGGTCCTGGGTCAGTGAGATAGCATGGAGAGTGACCTGAAGAACAGCACCTCCCAGGAGGGTAGGATGAGTCCCAAATTCCCAAGATTCCCTGAAGATGCCAGCATTCAGAGACTTGAAGAAGAAGGTAAAGTGTTTGGTTTCCCCGGGCAGGATCACACCTGAGGGAGGCAGAGGCTGTGGTGGAGGAGCCAGCCGAGCCATCAATCTGTGTGTAGAAAACACACCACAGCCCAGCCCGCCCACATCCGGTCACCAGCCATCCCTGGAGGATGTGTGACATTGTTATAGCGGGGAAAGCTCCAGTCAGTCAGGGGGACAGTTGGTCATCCTGGCCCCAGGTCTGTGCTCCTGGAGTTTTCTTGTTTGCTCCACAGACGTGAATGGGAGGAATGGGAGGGTCAAGGCAGAAGGAGGGGGTCAGACTGGTAGGTACTAACTGAACACCCGAGTATCGCAATCATTGAGGCCAGTGGGGAGCTGGTGAGGAGGGTAGCTTCGGGGTACCTTCCCGGTTGTTAAAGTAAAATCTCTGTGTCCTGTTTCTCTTTAGGTCTTGGAAAAAATCCGTACGGGGCCGCCGTCGCCAGTCATACCAAATGGCCACAGTGCCATTATTGACCACAGTCAGTTCTGAAGACGTTTTCTCCCCTTCAAGGGTCTCAAATGTCAGGCGGACAGCGATTCCAATGTTCTTCTGTGGGAGGGAGTGGGTACAAGCACTGTCTTGTACACACATGTACATACATATATTGAGGTCTTGCCCTACAGTGACCAACTCATCCCTGTTTCCTCTGACTCCTCGGAAAGTCCAGGGTTCACACTGGTCCCCTGGGCTTGGTCACCCTGAGTGCTGTCAACCTCTACACTGGTAATTGCCTCTTAGGTTATCACTAATACTAAGAGGAGAAGTATTCTTACACCTGGAATTCGTTTCTGCTCCTTAGCATCTGAAGAATGTTCCAGAACTGGTCTTGGGGAGGTGACTCAGAGGTTAGTTTGCAGGTCCAAAGACTGGAGATTGCATCTCCAGAAGCCAGGTTGAGTGTGACAGCCTGCCTGTGATCCCAGCACACAGGAGGTAATGACAGAGTCCCCAGAGCAAGCTGGCTAGCCAGACTCACCTAATCATTAGCTCTACGTTCAGTCAAAGCCCCTGCCTCAGTACTCAGGTGGAAAGCAAGAGAGGAAGGCACTCCATGTCAGCCTCAGGCCTATACACATATGTTCACACAAGGGATGTGCACTGCACCCACACATGTGCTCACACATATTTGGACATGCACATGTATGCAAGCCTGCATACATTGCATACACACATACATATATAAAACTATATTATTATTATTATTAATTATCCTAAAACCTCCATCTAGCCCTATCTATGTAAAAGAGTTTATTTGCCTGCTTGAGGACTAGGTAAAAACTAGGTATTATCAATGATACACACGCACTCTGTCTCCCCTCTCCCCAGACAGGGTTTCTTTGTATAGCTTTGGCTGTCCCGAAACTAGCTCTGTAGACCAGTGTGGCCTCGAACTCACAGAGATCCGCCTGCCTCTGCCTCCTGGGTGCTGGATTTAAGGTGTGCCCCACCAGCAGCAGCCTTTCTAGCCTTGTGATCTCATTTTTGTTTCAGTTAGTGCTGCTGTTAGCATTTTCAGGCATGCAGAATGTGCAATCAGATAAAAGCACATATAGAAACCGTGTGGACTCCTTGTGACTGTCACGGTCACCTTGGGGCCTGATCCATCAGGGAAGCCCTTCCTGCAAGTGCACGAGGCTGAAAGGGCAGTTCACCTTGTCGTCTGGGTTACTGCCTCTGATCCAGCAAGCTGGCTTCCCACAGAACAGCAGGGAAGGGCCGAGAATCGGCATGGGGACCATGTCAGAGAAGTTGGTCAGTGAGTCTCTGTAAGAAAAACCCATTATTTCTTTTCCCGAAGGCTGAGCCCTCACGCCACTTGGAACCGTGGACACAGTCATCAGGAAATCTAGAGTCTCCGTCAGCCTTGCAAGGGTCTCTGCAAGTCCCTCTCCAGGGCCATTCCCTGTTAATAGCTGTGGAGGGCTCTGTGGGTGAGGACATTTAGGTAGCACAGTAATATATGGGCATTCCCCCACTAGGACCCAGCTGTGGGGAAGGAGACGACGGCAGCAGACAGCTGGCAGACGTGCTGGAATGGCTTAGAGGAAGGGAGGCAACTACTGGCAGGGCTGGGATGAAGTCACTCCGATTTTGATTTCTAACACTGGCGGATGTCAGGGCAAGCATGCTCTCCAGCCGCCTCTCTCCCCGGGGGCTCAAACTCACAGGAGCATAGTGTCTTCGGAGGAACTCTTCAGGCTCTTCTCACATGGTGAGTGCTCTTCCACTGTGACAGATGAGAAGGGCTTCCCACGGCCCACCACCTCCAGGCCATCGATATCCTAAGAGGAGCAGAGAGAGGCAGTGTGAACTGCCTGGCAGTTATCACCTGAAGCACCTCAGGACAGGGTATGAAGGCATTAGCAACCTGCTGGCTAAAATCCAGATCTGCCATGATGTTCTGTAGCTCCTTGCGTCGGTAGACCAGAAACAGACTCCGGTCCCAGGTGTAACGGTACCACGCATCCTTCTGCGCTGGTAATCCTAGCGTAGAGATGGAAGACCGTCAGCACAGGCTGCCAACATGCCTGCGTCCTACCCTTTGCCCAGGGGTCCTGAGAACACCCATCCCGACAGCACTCCTGAGAAGGATTGGGGGGTAAATACAACTTCCGTGGGGGCAACTCTACTTCAGATCTCTGGTCCTATATGTCCTTAGCAACTCTATACAGGAATCCCACAAAATAAGCTGCCAAATAGACGAATCTTTTGGCTTGCGGTAACAACCCCAACTACTTTCTCTTGAGTCTTAGCAAGAAACCAGAAACCCTTAAGACATACAATGTCCCTTTGAACCCCCTCACAATGCTTATGATAGAAGATCAAGGACAGTGGGAGCCAAACACCTCATACAAATTCAGAGAGCTGGGGTGTGAATCTGTGCAGGTTGGCGGGCTCTAAAACATGGCGACCCCACGGAAGTACACTACATACAAACCATGGATGCAAGCCGTGTGTGTGTGTGTGTGTGTGTGTGTGTGTGTGTGAGTGTGACTTCAGATTTTCTATATGCATGTTGAAAAGGTAAATCTCGCCAAACTCTAAGTGAGATTAATTTTAACACAGTTTAGTTAACCCCATATATAAAGACTATTATTGGAATAAATATAGAAATGACTACTAAAATACTGGTTTTTGTTTGTTTGTTTTCAAACTGGTCTACACTGACAGGTATTTCCATGCAGACTAATCACATTCCAGGGACGCAACAGTTGCATGTGGCTGGTGAAAGCCCAGAACCCTAACTACCCTGCCTCCCTTACCAAGTCTATCAGTTTCACTGAGGTCGGAACTGGATCCCAGGTAGAGTCTGGGACTTGCTCAAAGCCAACTGAACCAGGACTTGGGCCAGAGTCATACTGACCATCACCATATAATGCCTGGCCTCCTGCACCAGGCACAAAAAGTTTATGGGTTCAGGTCCTGTTCCTCACCAGTCTCCACTTGGATGGAGTGGGGCTTCCTGATGTGTGTGATGGGTTCCACCAGGCCACGCTGGGTTTTTGTTTTTGTCATGAGAAGACCTGTCACCTCATCTCCCAGGTATTCCAATGGACTCCAAAACCAATTGGCTGCCTTGAAACCCTGACAAGGAAGGACAGAGTAGTGAGGTCACCTCTGTACCTCAGTCAGAGGCTGGTGGGGGCATCCACTGGGACCCAATGGCAGAAGAGTGGGCATTTAACAACTTTATTGTTTTCAAGATACCAGGAGATGGGGCGAGCTGATCCCAGCCCAGGCACTCACTGATGTGCACAGCACAGTGCTTTGTCCTTGGTTAGACTACATATATATTAAAAACCTTTAGGAGACAAACATTAAGGCTCTTATGGTAAACTGACCACCAGGGACCACCACAGGCTAAATTATTCAGCCCCCAAATATGAAATATAACACAATAAAGATCCCAAGGGCTTAACAATGCTTGGTAATGGACAGGCTGTTTTCTCCCCAGCCGTGTAACTGGAGACAAGTTGGCACCAGTTCCCATGTGCATTCTGTCTCTCTCGTCCCCTCCCTTCTTCATCTCTCCTCCTCCCTCTCTCCTCTCCTCCCTCTTTCTCCCCTCCCTCTCTCTTCCCCTCTCTCCTCTCCTCCCTCTCTCCCCCTCCCTCTCTCCTCCCCTCCCTCTTTCCCCCTTCTTCTCTCCTCCCCTCTCTCCTCCCCTCCCTCCTCCCCTCCCTCCTGCCCCCTCTCTGTACTTGGGACAGGTGCCCTCACTTTTCTATCATGCTGGGTTGGAAGTGCACGGTCAATGAGCTCCCTCTCCTCCTGAATCCTTCTGTAGCTCTCCCCAGTGTGCATCAGCAGCTCACTCGTGGGCTTCTTCAGATGCTCTTAAAGAGGGAGAAGGAAGAATGTGACCACTGCACCCAGACAGAACGCACAGGTTCTGGCACTATGAACCGGGTGGTCCACTTTCGGGCTCATTTCAGGACCCACGGAGGCCTGAGAACCCAAAGCTCTCAATAGTGATGGCACAAATGCTAGTCGGTGTGAGTCCCGGTTGCGGAAGGGTGGGGGAGAAGACACAGAAGAGCCCCTGCACCAGATGGAGACCTGGCAGGTCCCTGGCAGCTTAGCTCACCACTAAGGACTTGCTGTTGCTTCTTCCACAAGGCAATGTGCCGTCGCCAGTTCTTTAGGAAGTTGTGCTGAAGACGTGGAGCCCATGGAGGTCTCTTCTCTTCCTTTGGGGCCTTTGGCTTCGGCTCTTCTTTAGCTGAGATGAGGGTCATCAAACAGGGCTGGGTGTGGATCAGCTTAGCCAGCTGGAATGGATAAGTAGGGAAGGGAGTTCTGACCTGGACCAGGTCCTGGCTTCTGCCCTGTTCTAAGAATCACTCCTCTTCAGGACCGTAGGGTGGCAAGGGACAGAAAACAAACCAGGGGACCCGGGGAACGCTGCCAGTGTCCTCTGCCCAGAAAGGACAGCATCCTTTAGGGTAGCTCTTCGTCACCACTGATGACTTCCTCCAGGTCACTGAGCCAATAAAAGGGAAGGATCTGAGCTAGAGAAGTGCTATGTGACAGGAAGGCAGCACAGGGGACAGTGGAGGACATCTCCATCCAGAATCCATTCTCCAGAAATGGGAGATGAGGAGCCGGGCCCCGAGCTGCTAGCTACCTTGTGAGGTTCAGTTTATCCAGACCCAGGTTCCCACAAGGCAAGTTCTCAATTCCTTTCAGTAAACCCCCACTTCAGCCAGGGGTGGTTTCGATGGGCAACTGGCTTCTGTAACTTACAACTACTTCCCAAAGGATACCTTATCATCTAGGTCCAGAGGCTGACCTGTATCACTCGAACCCTACCCATGTACCCCCATCTCCACAAACGCCCTTTTGGCTCTGCAGGGGAGCAAATGGCTTTGCCAAACCCTCTTGATCACAGAGCTCTGTGGGAGCAAACCTCGGTGTTCCCTCGAGCAACTGCGATTCTTTTAAAGTCCTGAAGACTCCCCAAGATCTGGTGAGGCAGGATCTGATCACTGCTTAAGTAGTTGTCGCCCGGACCTGGGGAGGAAAGAGGGACTGAGAAACAGAAGCTGTGAACTACCCACAGAGCGACTGTTTCACAGAGAGTGGGCCTTCCAACACCCACCCGGGAAGGCAAGGCCTAGCGAAGCCATACCAGAGTAGTCCAGGGGCTTCGTGGCGGCATCGGGATGAGCGGGGTGTGCCACCAAGTGGTAGACCTTCCGGCTAGAATCCTTCGGTTTGAGCTTACGGATGATAAATTTCTGCGTAATGACAGGCTTCCCTTCTATTTCTGCAAACCGAGGAACGTGTTGCTAAAAAAGAAACAAAGCCAAAGAAAATGCTACCTGGGAAGAGGAGGAGGAACGTACACACACACACACACACACACACACACACACACACACACACACCAGTTCTTGATAGAATTCCTGAGACTGCTTCCCCAACTCCCTCCATACTTCATGACCTGGAAATGCCTGTGACAGACCTGAGATTTAGGAGCGACATGGAGCAGGGAAAATGACACCTGGCATGTCCAGACAGACTATGTAAGGGTGACAGCCAGATAAGGGGAAAGGCTGGAGATCAGAAGCCTTGTGCTCATTTCTAACTATGCTGTTAGAACTTACTGGCCCATCGGCAGAATGGGTACGATGCCACAAGGTACCTCACTATTTTGTGGCTCTACTAGAATTTCAAAATTTGAAAACCTAACTTCCTGTAAGTTCCTTCAGATACTAAAGTAAAATAAATTGTATTTGATGGCTTTTTTTTTCTTTCATGGAGTTGGTGACTCCTTGGGATCAGGAAGCCAGTGGAGGGATGGATCATGACAGTGACTGGATGTTCTAAGAGATCCCTGGCCTTTCCACCTTACCTTCTTCAAGTCTTCCTTCTTAATGGCCAAGGCAAGAATGTCATCTCCTTGTAAGACATTGCTGACAGGCTCAGGCTCTTCCTGAATGGGGGGAGTGGGCTGTTCGGCTGCCTTTGCCCGCTTCTTTTCTGGAGAGAAGCAAAGAGATATGTGCCAAGAGCACTCTGCATATATTCATACAGAAATAAACTCAGTGGTAGAAGAGTGCTTGCCTAGCAAGCATGTGCAGGTTAGTGAGGCCCTGGGTTCAATTCCTCACACCACAGGTTCAAGGCTAGCCTTGGGCTCATAGAGATCCACCTGTTTCTAAGTGCTAGACTTAAATTGGGCACCACTGGGCTTGGCCCTTTTTAATTTTACCTTTTTATTTTATTTTATTATTTATTTACTTTGAGACAGGGTTTCTCTGTGTAGCCCTGGCTGTCCTGAACTCGCTCTGTAGGCTGGCCTCAAACTCACAGAGATTTGCCTGCCCCTGCCTCCTGAGTGCTGGGATTAAAGGCATGTGTCACCACTATCCTCTTAACTTTGATTTTTTTGAGATAAGGTTTCATATAACCCTGGCTGCCCTTGAATTCACCATGTAGCCCAGGATAACCTTGATGGTCCTACTAACTCCCCCTTTCAAGCACTGAGGTTACAGGTGCACGCCACCACATGCAGCGGCTTGGCATTGGGCTTCTTTTTCTCCTTTTTGAGACAGAGTCTCGCTGTGTCGTCCTGGTTGACCTGAAATTTGCTGTAGCGACTAGGATGGCCTTGAACTCAACAGAAATCCACCTGCCTCTGCCACCAGGACAGTTTTGACCAGTGTCGTAAGACCTGCTATCTGGCGCTTGTTTTTCTTGAAGAGAACCCAGGTTCCGATGACTAACACCCGTATGCCAATTCAAAACCATTTATAACACCAAACACACCAATCCCAGGGGGTCTGATAGCCCCTTCTGACCATCATGTGCTTTTTTTTTTTTTAGAAAGAAACCTTTAATCCTAGCACTTGAGAGGCTGAGGCAGGAGGATTTCTGTGTTTCAAGCCAGTCTGCTCTATAAAGGGAGATCAGGCCAACCAGAGCTACATGGTGAGGTCTGGGAAGACAGAGTTTGGGATGAGAACAGATTCAGGGGACAAAATGGCCAGGTGGACTGAACGTGGGACACTAGTCTGGCACGCAGGGGCCCCCAACCCAGGGATGGCTGGGGGAGCTTTGAGAAAGAGGTGATTTTCCTACTGAGAGCAAAGGAGGAAGAGAAGCCCAACAACAACAAAATTCCAGAAGGAACTGTGTGAAGAGGCCTGGAGGCCAGAGAGGAGGGAGAACCCCCTGGAACTCAAGGCATGCACTGTGAAATCACTGGAGTGGCGTGAGAGGGGGTGGGAAGAAGAAAGACAGGAGGAAAAAGGAGTCCGGCCAGGGAGGGCTTAATGATCCATACAAGGGATTTCAGCCTATCCTGAGGACAGAGGCAGGCAGGGCCGGAGACATCCTAGGGGGTCAAGACTGAGGACAAGATTATCTAAGGGTCTAACTTAGCCTGAAATCATAGATGCCACCAGTGGCCCATGCAACTGCACAAAAGTGCAAGGACCAGAGTTTATGCCACTTAAGTGACAGCCAGAGGCCCTCTGGTCAGGACGTATTCTGTCTGCCTCCAGAGAGGCAGCTTAACTCTTTCAGATGTACACCTTGTTTCTCTCGTTGGTGATTTCATCTTTTCCTCCCCCTGGTTGAGAAGGGTTTGATGTAAACATCTATACAAAAATATCAAAGGAACCTAAACTCAGCTGTCAGGATGTTTGGAACAACATTTTGGTTTTATCCAGAGCTTCAGGTGTTTAGAACAACTTTGGAGTTTTATCTAGTGCCTCTCAAAATGTTCTAATCTGTGGTACCAGGACCACATCAAGGCAGGGACTTTGGTTTACACAATCAAACTTGTTTGTTTTTTTGTTTTAAAGGAAATGTCCACATTGCAGTTTTTTTTTTTTTTTTTACCATTCCAAACATAACTCTAAGTCCATCTCCTCCACAGGCGAAGTAGCTCAGGGTCTCTGCACAAAGTGCACACACACAGACACACGCAGAGCTGAGCAGTCTGACCCCATTTCAGTCTGATCTTCCACCACACCAGGAGATGCTGCCTTGGGTTTTGATATTTGGCTTTCTTTTCTTTTTTCCCACTGGAGACAGGGTTTCTCTGTAGAGCCCTGGCTGTCCTGGAACTCGCTCTGTAGAACAGAGACCCACCTGCCTCTGCCAAGATGAAAGTCGTGGGCCACCACCCTGCACAAGTTTTCTTTCTGAGACAGGGTCTTCCTATTCAAGCCCAGGCTGGCCTGGAATTTGCCATCTTCCTGCCTCAGCTGCCTGAGTGCTGAGATTATTGGCCCCCATCACGACGGGCTTGGGCTCTGATTTTAAATTCTCTCCCCTTGTATACAAACATCAAAGCAGGTGGTACCCACGAGGGAGCTGCGGCCATCTGAAGATCCACTATCAGAAGCATTTTCATATTATGTTTCCCAGGGCGTTTGTTTCTTCTACCCATCACCGTGGCTGCACTACATCTTCCCTAGGAATAGGCCTTTTGCTGATGGGTATAGAATTACTGGTAGATACTGTAAACACAAACCTTCAATGCTGCTGATGACTCCTGGGGCCAAAGATCCCACCACGCTCAGCTAGCAATACAGACCCTGATGGGTTGAGGCTGATGCAGCCCTTGAAAGCTCTGGTCTGAGGTTTGAACTATCTTGAGTGCCTTACAATAAAGGCTGCCACTCTGCGCAATTGGGGGATGGTAAGTGCTCTGGTTAACTAAACATTCATTAAACTAATATACGCATTTTAAAGTGAAGTCCATCTTAGAGAGTATCCACCAAGTGCCTACTTTTGTTGTTCTGTTTTCTTTTTGAGACAGGGACTCCTTCCAGCCCAGGCTGACTTGGAACTCACTATTTAGCCCAGGTTTGCCTCACAATCATGGCAATTCTCCTGCCTCAGTTTTCTCAGGGCTGATTTTACAGGTGTGAGCTACTAGGGCTGGCTAACCAAGCACCTTCTATGTGCTGCAAGGACAAAGGGGGTAATAGACAAGGCGTTGTTAGTTCGGGTCCTCTTGAAGGAAACACACAGAGATCTTAACATGAATGAAAAGCACGCCAATAGGCCTGATTAGCCATTCAGAGAGCAACTATGCCAGTTGCAGAGTTGAAGGCCCCAAAGAAGGTTCAAGGAACAGCTGCAGGGACAGCTATCCGGCCTGGAAGAGCGGGAAGGGCACAAACGCTTTGCAGAGGTGGACCTGCAAACGCGGTATTCCAGGTAAGGCCATGGTGGGAACAAGGCTGGATGACACGAAAAGCTTGCTGGGGAGGCAGGGCTGCTGATCGGGATGAGGGACAACAGCATGGTGGCTTTGGGGCCTTATCCTAAAACAAGCGAACAACGGCAAAGGTGCTCCGGGACTATTCGCTGGTGAGCTGGACTGGATATTAAATGGCGTCCGGATCAGGGGTCTGACCCCTGGTACAGGATTGTGGAATGCTGACAGTGGACATGTCAGAATGATCCGTCCAGCGACAGAGAGACAGACAGACTGGAGGCAGACGAGGCAGGAGGAGGGACCAGTCGGCAGGCTAATGGCAGTTCTGGTATTCTGGAGATCTGGAGAACCACACAGGGTAGAGGTGCGTCACTGCTGAACTTGAGGCCCGTGAGCTTCATTCTGGAAACCCAAGCTGAGAGGGGCTGTTGGTCAGGCAGAGGGTTGCCAGTTCTCTGTCCTGACAGGGGTCAGACACAAGCCTCTTTGAATAGGACAGTTGGGCAATACCTCTGCTAAGGCAAGAGGAGTTGCAGAGGAGTTGCAGAGGGCGTTAGAAAGAAGGGACCCGTAGAGGGGACAGAAGAAGGGATCTGATTTTTCTTTTCTACTTCTTGCACAAATGTCATTCTTCCTCAGTGTTGCTGAAAGCTTTTGGGAAGCTGACTTCAGGGTTGAGCTGAGGGAACCAAGCCAGGACCTGTCCCTCCCAGAGCAGAGCTGTCTTTGTAGTTAGAAGGGGCACCTGGTGCTTCTGGTAGCTTAGCAACAAGGCCAAGGAGAGCCACAGGACTCGGTTCAGGTTTCTAAATAGGTCCCCAGTTAAGTTTGCTTGCCTTTATGCTCACGAATCAGAGACCACAGAGACACACAGCACACACACTCCAAGGTCACACTTGTGGACTGGACACACTGGGGAGGTGGGCGGGCTACACTGGAGGCTTCTGAGAAAGTTCAGGAGAAAGGGACCTTGCCTGTTAAACACTGTTTCTTTTTTCCTCTCCTCACTGTGGTACATGTTCTTAACTCAAAGACTATTTAACAAATCGAAGCCTTCCCTTATTAAAAACAAATACACGATGAAAAGAAATCCTTCCTTGATCTGTTTACAGCAGAAAGTTCAAATCTGATTAAGGTCGCTCTGAAAGTAGGTGAGCACGAGGCAGTAGCTAGGAGAGCCCTTGGCTGCCCTTGGGAAAGGAAACCGAATTTTTTCCTCCTCTCTCTCCTTCTCTCTTAACTATTAAAAGTATGTCATGAAACAGCACTAGCTTTTTATACTAGGAAGAAACATAAAAGAAAGACAAATAAAAAAAAAAACCCACTAGGGTCTTTTTAGTTCTCTGGGCCTCCCAGGGGACTCTTACTGACTCTTGGCCTGCCCCCCTCTTCACAGTTTGCTGCACCAGGCCTAGGAAGCTGGGTCCCCTCAGGGCCTGCAAGGTCACACAACAAGACTTTGGGACTTTGCATAGGAAGTCCTTTTATGGTCTGGCTCCTGCCCACCTGCATGGAGTCCTCTGGTTCCTGTGTTCATTGATCCATGAATTCACACTGCTCTCCAAACCCAGAGAAGCAAAACCTTCCTTTTTTTTAGGTGTCTTCTCCTTTAATCTGCCATACAAGCCATCTACATCAGAAAACCCTTTCCTCCAAGTCTACCAGCCAAGGCCTAACTCAAAAGCTCCGAGGGTCCTGAATTCCTATAGGCATCCATATCTGCATTTATAAGTCTTTTGGTATTCCTCTGGGTCTTCGCTTGATTGTGTTTCTGGAGGACTGGAGTCACACAATGTCCACACAG